GGGGGGGTTATACAGCACCGGGCACCGGGCAGAAAAGTTGTCAGCTGCATAAAGAATATGAATTAAAAGCTGTCCCAAGTACTGGAAAAGTTAGCGTCGTCATTTTACTGAAATCACAACAGGTTTGTGTTTTTTAAAATTATCCCCACATATGTGAGTTAACATACATATGCATATGATGCTTATATATTTTTCATGAACATGTTAAGATTAATTGGTTTTTAGTACAGTACACAGTAAAACTTGTTTTTAACGTCCATTTTGCGCCAAAAAGAGGGTGGGGGGAAGGGGAGGGGAGACGTGAGGAAGAATACGTGAACAAACTTCCCCAGTAAAAAAACACCGTACTGCAAAAGCTGAAATATTTACCTGGCTCTGTTTTCGCCACTCATTCTTCGCTTTAAAATAAAGAAAGTAGGAGGAAAAGTGACTGGAAATAAAAATGAGCTAAAAATACATTTTTAAATGATAATCACCTCTTCGTTGGATGTGTGCGATTTCATTTGTCACATAATTATATTTGATCACAAGACTGCACTTCTGGATATCGATGCCCTCTTCGGCCACCGATGTGGCGCACAATATTTTGGTTTCGCCATTTTCGAATCGCGCTAATGTGTCACGCTGCGCCATGGCTGTTTGCCCACCAAGATCACCTGATACATTGATGCCTAAAAATATTTGATCAATCGAAATCCGTCATAATATTCATTCTCAGATGTGGAAAATATGGCGTAAGCAAGAAAAAAAAACGCGAAAAATAAGAATAAACAAAGTGAGCTAAAGGATGAGAAAAATGCTCATATACAGCTCAACAGGTATGAAGCTGCATCTCAGCAGAAAGCCACGATAATTTCGATGATTTTTGATCTTTCGGGAATTTAATAAGCTAGTTGATTTTGACCTTCAAATCCGATTCACTAAACAGGTTACAGGATAAACAATTACAGATAAAACTGCTGGAGTAGCATCACAGGAGTGTGGTTCGCCCGAAGTTTTATGAGCATTTGAACCCGACGAGAAAAAATTTTCGTCTAAAATAGCCAAAAAAAAAAATGTCCAACACCAACCGCGCTCAGACCTTTGAAAATATTCGAGATTTTAAAGCACTGTGCTGTGATTCAAAAAGCTAAAATGAAAATCAAAATATGAGGCCATATCCCCCGATGAATGCCCAATCAAACCAGCTTACGATGACACGGGAACGATAACGAACAAAGCATTCCCAAGCAATAATCATCTCATTGGCAAAAAAGTCTAGGAACAGACCAGTTACGATCTCCGATTTTACTCCCAGTGCTTTTAGGCCTTCATTCTCATTAAGCTGTTCAGCCAGTCGTACGGCAAAATCCCTCATTCGCACGAAAACAATTGCACGCGCGTCTTTTTTAATCGTAAATTCCGCATTCAGTGTCCTAAAATTTTCACACACTAAAATTCAAACTGAAAATATGAAAACACAAAATCTGAAGAATTTTCAAACAAAAAGAAAGGCGTAGTTGCAATTATATGCTAACCGTAAAAGTTCGTTGAAAAACTTGTTACTCGTCAGATTTCTTCCATGAGACTCAAAAGGATATGCTGAAAAAAAAAATACTTTTACGCATTTTGAAAAGAAGCCTGCTCAAATACTTCACAAAAAGTGGAGAGAATGGAAGCATAAAAGTTTTTTTTTTAGAAAGAATGAAGAAAGAAAGCAGCCTATACAGGCAGCGAGCCTCTCTAGAATGTGTAAATGCGACCCGCCACCATGTACAGGTTATGGCATGTTGTCTGTAATCTGATGTTTTCGTGTATTTATATATACTGATCGGCAGCGATATTCAGCATTGCCGATTTTTGAATTTTCGTATAAAGTGGAAGTTACCTCGCAGAATGCTCAGGACTTCACTAGGTGACGTCGCCCTCAAAATGCTGCACTTATCTTCAAAATATCTCTTTGCCACATGATGCGGAAAATGAATATACTGTTCCAGTGTGCGGTATAAAATCTTAAAAAATATTCCAGGAAAATTTTTATTCCTAAACAGCAAATGTTTCATAGCTGCATATCAGTGAAACTAAGAAATTTTTTCTTAAAGATCCAAGCAATCTTCATGACAATATACAGTTTTTATGGCTGCACTTCGACAGCATCATGCGGCCTTCACATTGACAGAAGAGCCGATCATGGAGATATCAAGCAATTTGTGACTGCATCTCAATAGCAGTGACATCTTCAAGGTCCGTACAGAATAATGATAATACATCTCAACTAAGCGTTCACAATGACAATTCGCCAGGGATCTGCGATTTACACCGAATTTAGTGTTATAATTTAATAATAAATAGCGGCGAACACCGGAGCAGCCGGTGCCATCATACATTTTGTGCGATTCCGCCCACCGTATGATTGCCTGCTAATGATTTTCACTGCTCCGAATTTAAATTTGAGGGGTTGTACGTGGGCAGGGAACAGTCCCCCAAAATTTCAGCTTCCTAGATTCCGCAGGTCCCGAGATAATAGTTTACCCGCCAAAAGTTTCATAGGGCCGTATATGTTAGCCGTGGGTAAGGGAGGTTGAACTTAAGTTTGCGGGTTCACACGTGGGTGAGGAACATTCCCCTGAATTTTCAGCTTCCTAACTTCTGAAAGTTGCGGACAAGTTGCTGCGGGGGGACACACACACACAAAAACAGACAACCCCGTGATAATATGAGTTTTGTACTTCTGTTACACTGTACAAAACGCATAAAAATACTAATTAACAAACTTCAATGTATTGCAGGCATGTTGTGACCAGAACGCGTTCCTCTGAATTCATCATTGCTTCAGGTACCAATCTTACCAATAACTGCGAGAACCACGTTTCGTATGCTGAAAAATGACATGCTAAAGTATCGTGTCCTCAAAAAACAATTCAAATAACAATCCCTCTGAAATTTCAGTCAAACAAAGTGAGAAAACAATCGTCGCATCCGCTTTCTGTGAAAGATACAGGAGTCATGAAGAATCTAAGTAGCAACACACACACGAACAGAAATAAGCCCGTTGCTTGCTTTTGCCTCGAAAAATCATTTAGGAACAACTCTGGCACTTTCTTCTTTCGCGGGAGGGAGGGAAGAGGGGAGGAGGGACGGAGGGAGGACCAAAATCAATACCGTCCAAATGATCCTTCTTGGGCTCCCTGTTACTGATTTTACAGGGATATTCTCACACAAACAGCTACGCACGGGCGTTCTATCTTGCGCCACAAATCTCTTCTTCAAGCTCAAAATCTGTTTAACGCAATTACGCTACCTCGCACTGGCAGCAAATGCCAATTTCCTTGTTACTTTCTAGAACGGCATCATTTGCAACCAATTTTTTATAACTTCGAAAAGTGCATAAAACAGACCTTTCGAGATTTTATTAGACGGAGCTATCGAAAACTGAAGAAGTGTTTCGCTGATAGCTGATGCACGGTCTGAATAATCTAAAACAACACTTCGGAATAAGGCCTATAATATTTTCGTACAGACTGCAATTATGGGAAAAGACATTTTACATTCGTAAACAAAACAGCCAGAAAGTGATTCCTGCCTATGTAAAAAAAAAAAAGCACAGAATAGCCCGGAACGGCCTTAACAGGGTCCCCTCCCCTCCCTCACAACTTCGCACGTAAGAGGTGCTAGTGCAGCCTGTATGGAAGTGAAACATGCAAGAAATTAGGCTAAACGATGAAAAGACCGACGAGGAAGGGGTGAAATGGAGACAAAATTTCCACTTTACTAGAGAACTAAAGGGGAATGAACTTTGGCGAAACTTAATCAAAACAACATTAAGGATAGTTCACAGAATAACACAAAGCGTCTCCAAACGCAAATAAATGGATCTGTCAACATCAAATTCATTCCAAAAATGCTAAAGATGCCAAAAGCAGCCCCAGATGGAGTAAGCGCAAATAAAAAATTTTCGTGAGTCAGGAAACATTTATCCAATAAGAAAATTAAAGTTCCGTTTTTATGAAAAATAGAACGAAAGTTAGGTGAACGTGCAACCTGTTTCGCCAGAGAGGTAGGACTGCTTTAGATGGCTGCTAGCATCCTGCAACATCATTTCAAATCGCTGCATAAGGTTCGTGATACGAAGAGCGGTCGGATCCGATAAAATATTATTTTCAATAAATCTGATCTCTGAAAAATACGCAATACCAATAGTGATTCTAAACAACTGCAATTATCATGAAAATCCATAACTAAAGCGTTGGCGCATCAAAATGAGAGGAAATGCTGATCAGGGCCCTCTTCATGTTCTCAGATTTTGCCGATACCAAATAGATCGAAACGAAATTGTTAGCAAAAAAATAACTTCCCAGAGCAAGCAATATAAAACATCGATTGTGAAAAGCAACACTTTTTCAAATTCACCCTCTCACTGGTTCTTTAAATGGCAATGAAAGATCGTACACCGTGTTTGCTGACAACGAAAAGTTAGAGAAGGGTGGAGAAGGGATCAGCGATAAGGCATAAGTAAGCAGCAGCGCATGTTCAATGTAGTGAATCAGCTTAAGGCTAAAAACAAAGAAGAATTGGGAAGTGGTCAGCGCTGAATCACCGGCCAAAAACAAAGCGATGATGAAAAAGTAGTCGATTTAGCTATCATCATTGTGAACAGACAAACTACTACAACACAAAGTCGCACTCGCATATCTAAATATTCAAGAAGCTATTTAAAAAAAATCTAATTCCGTAAACTTTAAACTACACGTTTTAGTATTTTAACCGTGCTGTTGTTCCATATTCTTCGCCACCTGTAACAATATAGAGTGGTGGGTAATGAAAGCGTGAAGCCGCAAAACTATAGCAAACAAGTTGTTTGGGCCGTTATTTCAGAAGGTGTGGTTCCACCTACCAACGGCCACAAAAAACCCCTTTACAACTTCACACTCTTCGGCGGCCCCACTTGGTGGGCCGTCCAATTTCAGTCCGGCCTTCTATGGCCACTCTTTTTCTATTTCCTTACTTATTAAAAACCACAAAAAAAAAGCAAGCATTACCATCCACAGCTACCGATGAATACAGCGCAAGTTCATCGATGTTTTCACGTACATAGCTCAACACTGTGCAATCCAAATTTGCGCATACCGCTATGATATGTGACACTGCTTGCAAGCCATCCTGTCCACTACCAACCCCCAGTGACGCTGTCAGTCCAACTATCTGCAATGCAAACTTCTAAAAAAAAGTAGTGGCGGGGCGCACCATGTGCGTTTTTTTGCAAAATTTAAGCCACAAATCTTTTGTTGCAAAATAACATTGTTTTTTTTTCCCAGGCAAATACTTCTAGCTAAACGAATTGAAAAAAAAAAAACATCGAATTCGGGCTCGTCATTATCATTTCCACGTCTGCGGTGCTAAGATTTCATCCGAAAACTGTCAGCACCAAACTGCAGCATATATGAAGAGGACGCGAAAGTTGTTTTCACATACACTTCATAAAGGACGCAGTCTAGTTCACTGCCATTCCTACGGCAACGAGAAGTGCCAGGATCGGAATTATGCAGGCGATGAAAATAGAAAGCATATAAAAGTAAAAAATAATGCAATTTTTGAATTCAATTTTAGTCCAGCTAACAACGTGATACAGCTTTACCGTCTGGAGCTATTACCAGTCAATACACACAAAGAACGACCTCCCAAACGTCTTTGTGACTGACCCCGATATCCCCAGACCCCCAATCTCCTGCACTCTGATACTTATCTGAGATGCGCACAAAAAATGTGGTCACAATGAAAAGGCTATTCGCCTACTGTTAAGTAAGTTGAAAGGCCACAGAAGCAGTGAAGCAGGAAATGTATTATAGTCAATACTTCCCGTCGAAACGTGGAAACTAGGAAACAAAGGCAAGGACCACAGGAGTTGCGCTTAATGGCATGAAGATACGCTGCAACAAAACAGCAACTACTCAAAGAAATAAAATATACGAAATATTAGATCAGAAATAATCTCACAGTGTACAATTATTACCTGTGGCAGGCGTTTCCCGACCGGAAGAACATTGGCGCATTTCAAGTCGTGATAAGCAATCATAATAACTATAAAAGCATTATTTATTTTGTTTCGAACCAAAAAAAAAGCAACGCAAGAACAGAACATACTTAAAATAACACCAAAGCTCCCTGCTCCCTCCCACCGCTCAAAATTCGTTTTCTGGATAAAAACGCCTGAAAATAGCCTGAATGGATAGCACACTACCAAAAGCAACCATCTGTTAGCGAGGCAATCGATGATTGCCTCTTCTGTTTTTTTTTAAGCAGTAACTGGAAGGAGGTCTCGCAATACCGATACACCATCAAACAAAAAAAAAACAAATCAACGGACGATAGGGCAGCTAATTTTGAGAACAAACAATCCATTTTGGTGCTAATTTTTTCTTTTTCAAATTTATCACCTAATTTGTCATCATTTCAGTTAATTAGCCTATGCGCAGTACTTTTTACCACTCCAACAAGCAACCTAAAAAACAAAACAATACGAAGAGAAATCAGAAGTTTTAATTCGTCAAAGACAGCAACAACGTTTACTTATTTTCCCCAGACCAACTTACCAGCAAATTTTGCATTTCTACTACAAATGTACATAGGATTTGTCTATCGAACTGGACAAAGCCATTTATACCGCAAATCGTTGCTTGAACGATGTATCGAATCTAGAATTGGATTGCGGGGACCACCTCTACGTGCTGAGGGGATCAGTTTACTTGTCTATCGTTAGATTGTACCCGAAGTTGCAGATTTTCTGCAGATTTACTGTCAGTTATATTATGAAATGTACGAATAATCGGTACGAGTATTAAACTGAATCTCGAAAAAAAAGCAGTACTTACCATTATAGGGATGACTGGCAATCGTATGATGAGCTTCATCGAAAATCATCAGAGAAAATGTAGACAGCGAAAAACGCTGTTGGTTGTTCTCATCATCATCATCGTAACACCCCGTCAGAAGATTTCTAAAAAAAAAAAAACACGCAAATTGCACAGTCTATGCTTGCATCATTTGGCAAGAAGCGAAAAAAGAAACACGTAAGGCACAACGCTAAGTCCCAGTTTCTCTCAGTAACAAAAAACAACAGAGGCGATAGGCTAACACCGATGAGGCAAGCACAAAAACTGCTTCTCAGCTGAACGTGGCCGCGATACAGAACAGTGATAAACATGAATTGCACTGAATGCAACAAGAATCACTGAGGAAAACAACTATGTTACCATCAGTGCATAATGCAGTTTTTAGGGATTTGTGAATAGAGGATCCCTCCTAAAATTTCAGCCTCCTAGCTTCTCCGATTCCGAGTTGAAAACCCGGGATGAAACGCAGATGGAACACGCACAGACATATACGTACACTCACATACATACATACACAAATAGTCTCGACAATATACGTTTTATGCTACTGTTGCAACAATATAAAACGCATAAAAACATACACAATTAGCTGAGGTGTGATAATGATTATGTCATGATTTTGAACGATCTGCGCAATTGGTATGTCGTTGTTTGAGTCACCCGACAAGCACGTAATACGCCAATGAGGGTGAACGAACTTGCTCAATAACCTCGCCTGTTGTTCCAAAAACGTGGTATTTGTGACGAGGAAGCAAATCTAAAAACACGCTCCCATTATGCAAGTATGCCACACACATATTTATCCAAAAAAACTTTTTTTTCTAAATCAAAAGTTGTAAAAAAATTGGTAATGAAACACACAAAGAAAAACAATATTTCTTTAAGGCAGGTAAAACTATGCTGCCAAAGTGCTAAGAGGGCGACGAAATATGGGATGAACACGAGGTTTACAATTTTTGCACCTTTTTTGTTTGACAGATGTTTGTGCTTCTGAAAGGTAAGTCAGATGATAACAAGCAATCAAAGAGTAAGTAAAGATATGTAAAGATATGCATTGTGGCTGAGATGCCATGCTGCTAATTCGTGATTTGAGGCTGGGGAGCTACGCGCTCACAAATGGAACATGGCAAAAATTTGTATTATTTTATGCTCGCAAACTTAAAAATCGGTCTTCACGCATGCCTCGAACTCACATACGGGCATGCGAAAGTTTTGGCGCGAAAATCATTACCTCAAGATCAGAAAATTCAGGACGCTGAAACTTTAAGATTATACTCCGTACCTGCGTATAAATTTATTTCCCGCCCATGCCTAGGTTTCATGTACGAAGAAGTGAAGATTTTGGCGCCAAAATTAATACCTTGGAAACCAGAAAAGCTAGAAGGCTGAAATATTACAAGAATGTTTCCTGTTCATACGACTCTGCAATTTAAATCAGCCTTCAGGCGTGTGTCAGTCCCACTTGTGAGCGTGTAAAGGTTTCGGCGCAAAAATTATTAACTCAAAAATCAGAAAAGCTAGCGAGTTGAAATTTTAGTGTGCTCGTGGTCGGCATATAAATAAGTCTTCGCACGCGCCCGGATCCCACGTAAGGAAACGTGAAAGTTCTGACGCCAAAATTAATAAGTTGAGGACCATGAAAATCTTTTTTGTGTATTCCATACAGTAACGCAGTAAGCACTTTTAACAACAAGTTTTCCCCGGACATAATTGCACACGCGACCGCTGGAAAGGAGTGTATAAGCATCAGCCGGACTGAGCTGCACAAGCGTTAGCTGGACAGGGTTGCAGAAAATGCATGGTGGTAGCAGCTACGGTGGTTCGCGCCGCTATTTTTCCATTCTTCTCGCCCACCCCGCTTTCCACCAAAAAAAAAAACTTTTTTAAATTCAAACTTTTGTGCTCATATTGTTTTTTTTGCCCAAGATGAGGTGATGTTTCACGATTGAGGCGGCTACAACGGTTTTGCCGCTTCCCGTTGGTGCGGTAATCACCGTATTATAGCCAGCATAGGCCGGCCGCGCCAACTCTTCTTGGTATTTTCGCAGGACAATTGTTGCTCCTGTAAAAAGCAGATACTGGAAAATCATTCCACGATTATGCTTTTCCTTTTTACTTTTCGCATACAAAAATATACCCTCTACCTAGAACCGGTGAACTGTCTGCCTTACGTATATTGTCTGCTTCGCATATACGTGAAACGAACCTACAAACATATTGTTACCACCAGCTGCCCTTACAAGAAATTTCACCAAGGTTTTGTCCTGAATTCGTTATTGATTCCATGATAACATCATGCACCGATTTTTCTGACGAGCAAAAAATGATCTTTTCAAAAAAATTTGTCGAAAAACTGCGGGCATATTTGTTTGGCAGCAGCTGCATGTCGAACCACAACCGAATTTACCATGCATGTTGGAGTTAAAATTCTCTTCGTATTCACTTATCATAAGTGACAGTGGAACTCGAAAGTAACTCGAACGACGGGAATTCGCCACCAGCAATCAGCTGCTACCAAGGCCACTGCGGATAAGAATTTTCGAACAGCACCACTTACTGTGCACCTCAGTTTTGGGTTTCAAGTCCTATTCACAAAATATATGGGCAACCGAGTGAACTGGGTTCGCCTGTTTCGTTGACTTCACTGATGCAATTTTTAAGATCAGTGAAAACGGTCCCACCAATTACTTCGTTTTATAGCAATTTTTACCCTTTTAATTTTGACCCTAAGTACTTTCCTGGCAAAAACATCATCACAGTATCAATAAGTGTTCCTCTCTTCATCGTCTTCTGCGAACGCGATTTCGCAGTGTTGAGTCGGAGGCTATATTGATGATTCCCGGCTTTATCCACACTTGTCTGTGTTTATAACTAAGGGATGAAACACAGGTGGAAGATTTTTATCACATAATCCTTTATGAAATGTGAAAACCACATATCCCTAAGGTCCCTCATTACATTCCTTAGTTTTGCTAACTTCCTCTGTTCCATCCCTTATTCACCAGTTCAATTTCTTCAGGTCTACATTTTCATTACAGTCCTGTTCCCATTTCTCTCCTCCTTTTCACAACCCACAGTTAATCCCTTCACCAGTGACCTTTGCAATTCTACTGCTGTTAACTTCAGCCCAACTTTTCTTAACCTACAATCATTTATAGTCAGCTCGCCTCGTACACTCTCCTCAGTATATCAACCCAGGAATTCTCCGCTGGGAATATTCACAATGTATGTAACTCTGTCGCCAGCAACAGACACCTGTTTAAATACTTTTACCTTAGAGCATCAAGCTGCGAAGTCTTCTCCCCTCTTACCCCCCTCCGCTGCCACAGTTTGACTTCTTAATCACTTAATCACCTCTTTTTATTTCCTTTGCTACGTCCTTTAATTGTGGTTTTTATGCGTTTTGTGCTGTGCAACAGCTGCACAAAACGCACATTGTCACGGGGTTGTCTGTAATGTCTGTGTGTGTGTGTGTCTCCGCAGCAACTTGTTCGCAGTTTTCAACTCAGAGACCACAAAAGCTAGGAAGCTGAAAATTTAAGGGAATGTTCCTCACTCACATCTAACCCCGCTAATTTCACGTATCGACGCGTGAAATTTCTAACTGTTTTTTAAACATTTCAACTATTATTGCACAGACTAAAGTACAAAGCAGTGAAAATCATTAATAGGCAATCATTCGATGGGCTGAATTGC